GTGTGAGAGTGTGTGTGAGAGTGTGTGAGAGAGTGTGTGTGTGTGTGTTTGAGTGTGTGTGAGTGTGTGTGTGTGTGTGTGTGTGTGTGAGATTGAGTGTGTGTGTGTGATTGAGTATGTGTGTGTGTGTGTGTGCTCTTCTGCACCTGGCTATTGAGATGAAAGCAACAGTGTCAGAATAAAGGCCTGTGGCTGGAATCATCAGCTTTATAATCCAGACTGACTGTGATCTACTGCCAGCACAGCTGCACCCAACAACAACACACACACACACACACACACGCTGATATATGTGGTTTATGGGGACTCTCCATAAGCAAAATGGTTTTTATACTGTACAAACTGTATATTCTATCCCCTAACCCTAACCCTACACCTAGAAGACTGACCGTAGAAGACAACCGTTTTCACTAACTGTTATAGCGTCTCTTGCGGCAACACTAAAAATGCACGTACTGATATATTTCAATGCAAACGTGAAATCATGCACATCTACAACAGCAAGTTCACATATTTGTATATGTAGTATGTTTCGATCTTATTTGTGCCATCTGCAGATCTGAGGACAATTCTGATTTAGTGAATTGATTTTTATGCAAATTGCAAATATTTCATTATATTATAGCAGATTTTGCCTTATGGATACAAGTGATTCGATCAGATGGAAAGGCATGGTGAAGACCTGAAATTATCTAATTAAGCATAACATAATAAATTATTACAATAATAATCAATAAATTATACAATAAATAATGTATTTAATCAATATTAATACAATAAATAATGTCATATAAATGCAAAACAATGCAAAGTACAATTTTAAAATACATACATAAATAATAAAAATTTAACTAAATAAATTCATTAGTTCAAAATAAAACAATGATAAAATAAAATTGTATTAATTAAAATAAACTAAATAAAATGAATAAAAAATATAAATAAAAACAAATTAATTTTGTTCTAAAAGTGGCAACAATACTATGCATACACTTAAGTTTTGTTTGAAGCAATTATTAAAATAATAATATTAATAATTATACATATATATAAATATACATAAATGTAACAATTAATAAAATTAGTATTAACAATCAATAATAATACAAAAAAATAATATGCAATTCAAAGCGTAATGCAAAGTGATAAATATAAAATAAATATATTTAAAATAAAATAATAAATATGCAATTTAACTAACTAAATAAAGTTATTTAATTTAAATAAAAATGACTAAAATATATATGACTGGAATGATTGAAATAGATAAGAAATGAATACATTTGACTAATTAAAATAACTAAAAATTGATCTGAAAATGGTGACTGGGAAGTTTTGTTCAATGCACATGTAAACAAATATGTGAGTCGGTTTGCAGCGTTTAGGGTTCATATAAACACAACTTTGAGAATTGGACGTCAGACTGATTCCTGTCTTTGATGAAAATGAGTGCATGTAAACATGTCTACAGTCAGACCATTTCTCTGCATACTACAACAGCACGCTCAAATGTGAGTGAAGAGCATCAGATCAGTGAGTGAGCATGACCGTACGCGGCAGATGAGAGCAGCAGTGTTTGGGTCAGAGACCGAGACTGAGAGCTGTGAACAGAACGCCGCGGAGAGACCATCTGTCTGACGGCCGCGGGGCGCTACGACCAGCACCGCTCATGACCGGAGGAGATATTAATAGATAAACTCACCATATGTCACATCACGACACTTTCTGTTAGCGCTGAACGCAAACCTGATACTATTCAGACCACGGTAACACAGCAGACTGTAGAGTATGTACTGTACAGAAAAAAAAACGACAAAAAAAGTCTCTTCTGCTCACCTAGGCTGCATTTATTTGATCAAAAATTGTGAAATATTTTTAGAATTTAAAATAACTGAGGTCTGAATACTTTCCGTACCCACTGTATATATATAGTAAAAAATATTTAAATATTTGTAATTATATTTGTTTACTCCGTATTGTTTTAAACATAAAACATTTTAACATTTTTGTTACATTCATGAGAAAGAAAAAAATGTATTCATGATATACTGTCTGAAAACAATAAATTTTGCAAATGCAACGAATGCAATTTTGCTTGAAGTAAATTACGTTTTTTTGTGCGTTTTAAGGAAGTGTGCTAATTATAAAAAAATTAATATGTGAAACAATATGCATTAGAGAACAGTAAACGTTTCAACATTATGTGTCACATAAGCTCTCTACGTTATGAGTGCATTGCATTATGGGATACGTTGCATATTTTGCACATACGCACATTTTTGCAATGCACATTTCCGTGCATACAGAAAATGCTTTGTGTTATACTATATGTGTATAATTTGCAACGCATGCATACTGCACGCTACTTTCTTTCAAAATTAATAATTAGTATGGACTTATATGCTTTCCAGGCCCCCCTTTTTCTGAACACACACGATTTTGTAAGCCATGCAGGCTGCAAATGAGATGACTAGTGTTGTGTTGTGGGTTTAAAAACGACATGAACTTGTGTGTCTGAGATCTCACCTTGTGTCTGCACTTCAGGACGACACCGTAAGCTCCTGCCAGAGAAACACAGAGAAACAAACAGGTTTTACTCAAACTTTCACCCAGCTCCACCTGTCTTTGTGAACATGACTCTCAGCAGATGCCAAAACCCTGAGCGTTTTGTGGCTGATGAATGAAGCGAGTGAAGGCGAGGCCGTCACCTCAGCACACAGACGTGACAGAGACAGAGAAACGTTCAGGGAACTGTAAGAACACCCTGTTTTCAGCTTGAGACCTGTGGGACACGAGCACAGTCAACGTGTTTGTTTAATCAGCGGAATTCATTAGAAATCTCATACGAGCGCGTTGAGCCCAAACAATATGCAAGCTGGCGCTCAGGTGTCTGTAAACGCGAGTGTTTTTGATGGAGGGGTCTGTGCGTCGTGCATTCGCTCCGTTTTTTGGCACCACGGATCATATCTGTGGCACAAATCGACTGTCCCGCAGGAGACGCAGAGCTGAGCTCATCCCAAACTCCCAGCCAACAGATCCGGGCCCACATCACGTCACGTTCACCACAACCTGCTCGATGTGAAGACATACACAGCGGCTTACAGTGTACATTAGAGCTGCTTTATGATGGACAGAATCATAATCATGATTATTTTGGTCATTGCTGAGTTGACGATTATTAATCATTGACTCGTTCACGCATCGTGCATTTAATTCACTTTTTTTTAAATGTAAAAAAAAAAATTCTATTAGATCTCAACAATGTCTCAGATCTGCTCACGATACCCACAATAAAAAGTCAGACATCTCAAGATGATTTTATAATAAACCGGACTATTTTTATTTCTCTAACTCTGCAAACAAAGCTGATACTTAAAACATAACTGAGCTGCTGAGCTTGAAAAGAGCAATAAACTCTTCCTCTGGGATCATTTGAATCCTTTGTTTCTCTGAGTCACATTATTTATCCTCCACTTCACAAATGCGATGACATCAGCTGCACTGATGCAAAAGGAGAGGAACACACACACACACACACACACACACACACTCGCGCTGTGAGCATCCTGTGGTGAGACGGCCTGCGTGATGCACATGATCGGCCAGCATCTCCTGAACTCACTGTGTGATAAAGACGTGATGCTGGTAAACTACGCTGAAACCGCCACAGGAGTCTGCCGCGTGACTGCTAAACCCCGCCCACTCCTCTGCCTCAGCCAATCAGGAGGAGAGCCACACACGCCTCGACCAATCCGCTGAGGACAGATGACGCGTCCTGCGAGTGTATGACAAGGCAGTGATTCTCCAGACTCATGTGAAACAGGCTAATCTTTACGACGTGTGTAGCTTAACCTGCTTTTTCCAGAGCCGGAATAGAAAAAAAGAAGAAAAACGAGGCCATAAAGGTGGAACTATGTGACCTGTTTTTACAGGAGCAACAGTCACAGAGACTTCATCAGCATTTGTTTTCGATTTTTCCTGAATAAGGAGAACATTCAACGAGGGCTCAGTGTGAAAATCACTAATAGGCCAAAAGCTTTCTTGAAGTCTTCCTGTGATGTTCATACAAGTTTGGAAGTCATAATTATGATCATATTTTGGACAGTTAAACTGGGCACTTTCATGTAAATATGGCAAAATGTGACCCTGGACCACAAAACCAGTCATAAGGGTCAATTTTTTGAAATTGAGATTTATGCACCATCTCAAAGCTGAATAAGCTTTCCACTGATGTATGGTTTGTTATGATAGGACAATATTTGGCCGAGATACAGCTATTTGAAAATCTGGAATCTGAGGGTGCAAAAAAATCTAAATATTGAGAAAATCTTGATATATTTACGGTAGGAAATTTACAAAATATCTTTATGGAACATGATCTTACTTGTTCTACTTAATGTCCTAATGATTTTTGGCATAAAAGAAAAATCAATAATTCTGACCCATACAATGTATTGTTGGCTATTGCTACAAATATACCCCAGCGACTTAAGACTGGTTTTGTGCTCCAGGGTCACAAATATGTTTAACACAGCTGAAATTTCTACACTGTTTTTGATGCTGAAACTGCATTCAAATTAGCCCAAATACCTGATGATAGTTCATCCAAAAATGTCATTTCAAACTTGTACCTGTATGACTTTCATTCTTCTGTGAAACACAAAGGCACATATTTTGAAGAATGTCTAAGTGTTTGTTTTTTCGTGTTGTCATACAATGAAACTCAAATGTTTGGACTCCAAAGTTCAAAATATATTCTTAAAATACAGAAGATACAGTGTTGTTATTGTTAACTAAAACCAAAACTATTAAAAACATATTGGTTATATAAAATAAAGCTGAAATTAAAGTAAAATATAACTGTTAAAGTTATACAAGTAAAATATAAAAACTTTCACTAAATGAAAATTATAAATGTTGCTTTTGCAACTAACTGAAAAAAAATTAAAACTAAATCTGAAATAAAACTATAACCAAAACAAAATAAAACACTATTTAGAAATGTTTAAAAAAATAAAACGTGAAATTATAAATGCACATACAATTAAAAAATGAGATAATTTTATTTGAAAACTAAAATATAAATCAAATCAAAATAACTAAAACTATAATAGGATATAAATAATACTAAAATAATACTGCACAGAAAAAAAAATCATATGATTGGTAGCCAGGTTTATTATCGTTAACTAGAAACCATTTTTTAAATCAAATAAACATAAACTGAAATAAAGTAAATATAAAAAGCTTGAACTTATTTTATTTCCGCTAGCTGCCAAATCAACATTTCTCATTTTTTTTTATTTTAAGTTGAAGTACTAAAATAACTAAAAACTAAATAAACAAAAACTAAAAAATTAAAATTAAAAACTTCAGACATATAAAAAAAACTAATAAAATTGAGAAGAACACAACAAAATGACTAAATCTTTCATTAAAATCTAAAGATTATATAGAAAATATACATAGTAAAATCTAATTTAAAATATTAACAAAAACTATACTATAGTACAGTACAGTACAGTACAGTATCGTACAGTACAGTATAGTACAGTACAGTACAGTATAGTATAGTACAGTATAGTATAGTATATCAATGATACTAAAATAACACTAATTGGAACAACATGAGAGTGTAAATGGGAATAAATATTTTTTGGGTGAAATGTCCTTTTAAAAATAATGCACTGGGCGGTAGATGTGTAGAAGTTTGTGAATGACAGACATTTCAGTTCCATGTGGGCCTGATTATAATCAAAACCAATTAACTTCCATCACGCTCCTCTGAAAACCCAGACTTTCCCTCTGAGGACATTCATGTGCACTCATCTCGTAAACACCATCATTCGAATTTGTGTAGAAGTTTGTGAATGACAGACATTTCAGTTCCATGTGGGCCTGATTATAATCAAAACCAATTAACTTCCATCACGCTCCTCTGAAAACCCAGACTTTCCCTCTGAGGACATTCATGTGCACTCATCTCGTAAACACCATCATTTGAAGATCACCTGAAGGCAGAAATATACTGGCAAGTCTCAACCAAATCAATTGGCTTTCAATTAGCATTGAGCGGCGAGAGGATAAACAAAGAAGTCAGGATGGGAACGGAGGAATGAGAGAGGAGAGCACAGCTGAGAGGAGATTAAACTACTGATGGCCAACAGAGAGAAACTGATCTACTGACAGCTGAACACACATCTGAGAGCATCAGTTAATACACTACCATTGTTTATACATTATTTTGTGTTCATCTAGATTATATTACACAATGACCTTTATAATTATCATTATTGCTGGAGTCACAGATCAACAAAAATCCCCTAATAATGATCATTATTTACCAAAGACCTTAAGACCTTGTGAGTGAATCTCAAGGTAAAATATAAAAAAGATATATGGAATTATATTTTGGACACCCCAGGTGAATAGGGTTAACATTCTAACTAATAGTTATCACCATGTTTCCCCAGTTGATTGATTACATCAAGAAATGCAAACATTTTTTTTGTATTGTAAGTATTCTGAAATGTTATAAGTAAATATGCGCTAATTTGCATACATTTCCAGAAAATAAATCTGAACACTGGATAAAGCCAGGTTCAAAATTTCTGTTTGATTTTGTTGACATATTACATTTAAAGGTTTTTACTGAAGGGATTTTGTATTGCTCTTTTTATCACTCCACAAATCAGAAAATACTGTCAACAGCCAGAAGAAAATCCATTTCCACCATGCTGTTATGAATAAAATGTTATAGAAATCAGTCCAAATGAAATATGAACAAACTGCACAGTAAAAACCTTCAGAATATAGAGAGGAATAAAACTGCTAAGTCTGGTGTTTGTAAGTGCTTCTGAAGTGGAGAAAAAACTTTTAAAGATATGGATTGTAATTGAAATCTACAGACGCAAATAGATCAAATACAATGAAATAAACACTTAAATGTGTATTTTGGATGTTTTTTTCCACTAGTCTGCAAAAATATTCTGTTTTCACTAAAATGCCAATGAAATTAGACAGAAAGTATGAAAGTAATAGTAAATGATGAAAATACAGAAAAAATTACCATGTTTGTAGGAATAAAATGTTATATAAATCCATTTGAATGATATATGAACAAACTCCTCAGTAAAAACCTTCAGAATATAAATAGGAATAAAACTGAGTTTGGTGTATGTAAGTGCTGCTGAAGTGGAGAAGAAAACTTTTAAAGATATGGATTGTAATTTAAATCTACAGACGCAAATAGATAAAGTGTAATAAAATAAACACTTAAATCTGTATTTTGGATGTTTCCCTTCCATTAGTCAGAAACAACACTTTATCAGCCCAAATAGTGCACAATCTTAAAAGTGACCAATGCATGTTTTTGCCTATTTTATGATGACAGATTTTTGGCAATGTGACATTATTTTCACACCCCAAAATTGCATTATTGCAATGCAAAAAATATCTGTAAGATAAGATAAACTTGGACAAATTCTCATTAGCATGAGCTAATAAAACAGCATCATAAAAATTATTAGCAAAATGTTGTTTAATTTTCCACATTTCAGGACAAATAAACTTCCTAAAAGTATTGAATATCAGCTACGCACTTACAATTTCACTTTACAGTTTATTTAATAAATCACTATATCAATAGTTTAAACAGAATTGGTAGAATTAGGGGTAGTTCACACACACAACACGTTTTTGCATTCAACTGCACTGTTTTTCCATCATTTTTCTATGTAAATACATGTTAGATGGATGTCTTTGAACGCTGAACCCACGTCTCGCATCTTTTGCAGCATCTTGCGCATGACAAAAAATTCTAAAAATGCATGTTAAAAGACGGCAAATTTTATAAAAACTTGTCTCTACACCTTGTGGTTTTTTACCTATTAAACTCCTCTGCGTCTCATGTTTTCAATTAAAATTTTTTTTTAAGTTTTCAGGTTGCCCTGCTACTCTCACATCTTATAATTTAGTTATTGTTGGTTTCACGAAATGCAAATTACACATAAAAGTTAATTAATTTATTTCTGTTTTTAAATATTTTTATTACAAATTAATGGATGTTGTTTACAAGATCATTTTAACATATCAAAATACAACTGGCATTATATAGTGTAATCGGAACAACATAATTTTCGCAACCCCAGAACCCAGATAATTTAGAAATGATTCACAAAAATAGTCAAAAATATTAAAAAATAGTCCATCCTAGAATTATTTATATTTGTTATATCAGTGGCATTAAGCCCATTAGAGTCTCATGTTTTTAAAAACGCAAAAATGCTTTCTTCGTGAATGGCCTTTTAATGTGCATCACTGTCATGAAAACAATGTCACAATGCAACAATTGAGACAAAAGTTTTCATTTTCTTTAGGCAATATGTAATTTCTTATTTTGGGGTTCAATATGACCCCAGCTTTACAGTTTTCATGATATTCACCCTTAAGACTCATTGTGAGAAAGCACACATCTTACCCAACGATCACACCACCAGCCCTCCTCAACACACACACACACACTCGCTGTTAGTGGGGCATCAGAGTGTGAGAGATAGATGAAGGGGTAAAAATAACCTGATCCCCCCCGAGACTTTTACCACACCCTCATACAAAATGTACAGAGAGAGAGAGCGAGAGGCTGCAGGTCGACTTCACACACTCAACACTCACGTCCCTACAATACATTGAATCGCCGGAAGACGTACATTCCAGCACATTCATTAGTCATGACCAAGATCTTTAAAAATGCAACATTCATGTTAAATATAAAGACCTTGATTGAATATTGCAGAATAGAGACAAAGAGATGCACTACCCGTCAAAAGTTTGAGGTCGGTAAGATTTTTTTTGGACTCTTCTGCTCACCGAGACTGCATTTATTTAATCAAAACACAGTAAGAACAGTAAAATAGTGAAATATTATTACAATTTAAAATAGCTGTTTTCTATGTGAATATCTGTTAAACTGTAATTTATTTCTGTGATCAAATCTGTATTTTCAGCATCATTACTCCAGTCTTCAGTGTCACATGATCTTCAGAAATCATTCTAATATGCTGATTTGCTGCTCAAGAAACATTTCTGATTATTATCAGTTGAAAACAGTTGTGCTGATTAATATTTTTGTGGAAAGCATAATACATTTTATTTTTCAGGATTCACAGATGAATAGAAAGTTCAGAAGAACAGCATTTATTTGAAATATTTAGTAACATTAGAAACTTTTGATCAATTTAATCTACACTTGCTGAAAAACAGTAATTTCTAAAAAATAAAAAAATAAAACTCTTACTAACCCCAAACTTCTGAACAGTACAGTATATGAGTACAATAAAATAAAATGCCTTATTAAATGTATTAAAGACTTATTGAAGAGGTCATTCAATTGCTTGTCAGTCAGAACTACTCGATGAGGTACGTAATGTAAAATAAATATCGACGATCAATTTAATCTACACTTGCTGAAAAACAGTAATTTCTAAAAAATAAAAAAATAAAACTCTTACTAACCCCAAACTTCTGAACAGTACAGTATATGAGTACAATAAAATAAAATGCCTTATTAAATGTATTAAAGACTTATTAAAGAGGTCATTCAATTGCTTGTCAGTCAGAACTACTCGATGAGGTACGTAATATAAAATAAATATCGACAAGCAGAACAGTATATTCTTCTTTGTACACAAATTTCCACTTAAACACCGCTGTGCAATTTTGAGTTTTCTTCCATGCCAGGATATTATTCTGCCAAAAGTAAAACGCAAGTCACTGCACACTTTGTCAGAATGAAATTACGACCAAAATCAGGTTCCTCAGACTGTGATCGGACAACTTTGACTCAACTACACTCAGATTCAGAGAAAATAAGTGTGAATTCAATTCCGTTTTCACTGCTCTATTTCAGATAAAGTGCCCATAAAGATTGCATAAAAACAAAACAGTCATGTGTTAATGCATTTGCAATGTCTGAGATAAAAAAACAAGACAAAAAATGAATAGTTTTTGCAGCTTAGTCTCAATAAGAGCTCTTTTTGACCTGAGTTTGGCAAGTTCTCATGCTACATCAAACTCTTATTTCAGAAGTTCAAGGAAAATTCGATTTTTCATGATGTGACCCCATTAAGTGCTTCAAGAAACAAGGCCATAAAAAGCATTTGTGACAAATGATGGAAGAATACAGGAGGAAAAAAGGATTTAGTGCATGAATTGTTCCTTTATCCTGTATTTTCCGCATCATTTCTCAGTTTCACCTGTTTTTTTCAGTCTGGTATGGTCTGCCGGTACTCACCTTCCCCCACAATCCCTAGAACCTCAAACCTGTGCATCACATCACTGGAGGCTGGGTTCCTCATCCAGTCAAACGGCCGCCGGGTGACAGAGGAGGAGCTCACGGAGGCGAGCGGTCGTCGTGGTTACGGGCTGGCATGGGGCGGCCTGGTGTGGAATCATGGGAAGGAGCGGATCACTGAGAGCCTTTGAGCATGATGATGTCCGTCACACACACACACACACACCTGCACCTGAGGAAACACACAAGACACATCATCTAGATGTTTCAATAACAGGGCATTGCTATGCGGTTGCTAAGGTGTTCAGAGTGGTTTCTAGTGCATCGCTATGTGGTTGCTAGAATATCAGATATCTGACAAAGAAAGAAAGAAAGAAAAAGAAAGAAAGAAAGAAAGAAAGAAATGAAGAAAGAAAGAAAGAAAGAAAGAAAGAAAGAAAGAAAGAAAGAAAGAAAGAAAGAAAGAAAGAAAGAAAGAAAGAAAGAAAGAAAGAAACCTAATACAAAATATCTGTCAAAACTGATAAATAAATATAAATATAAATAAATAAATAAATAATGCCAGAAATGTCAAATATATGTCAAAACAAACAAACAAATAAATAAATTAATAAAGCTGGAAATGTCAAATACCAGCCAATACTAATCAATCAATCCATCAATCTGCAAATACCAAGTAAAATAAATAAATAAAATAAATGAATAAATACAGCTGGAAATATCAAATATCTGCCAACACCGATAAATAAATGAATAAAAGAATGAATTCATGAATAATAAATACATAAATATTGCCAGAAATATGAAATATCTGACAATACTAATAAATAAATAATGCCGGAAATATGACATATCTGCCAATACCGACCGACCGACCGAAATACCCGGCAATACCGATTTGAAATTGCCTAAAAAATGAAATATTGAATATTGAATAAATGAAATATTGCCAGAAATATCAAATATCTGCCAATAACGATTAAAATATAAACAATATTGCCAGAAATATCAAATATCTGCCAATAACAATTTTAAAAAAAAGAAAAAAAAACAAATATTGGCCAAATATGAAATATCTGCCAATACTGATTTAAAAATATATTGCCCAAATATTACAATTTTGCCAATATTGATTTATATA